AAAAACTAGAAGGGTTTCTTGTTTTCCTGGGCTGATATGAGTTTCCAGTTTCTAGAGATGACAAGACACATATAGAATCCGATAGAATTTGGACCAGGACAACCTAGAGAGTCTCTGATTCTAAGAAGGCTTAGATCACATGTCAACTTGCCTAATATCCATTCTAATATCTGGCTCCATCTACTTAATGGGAGCATCCCATCTTCTTTATGACAGGACCACCTGTCTGCCTCCCATCCACCAAATCACCTGAGTGCCACAGACAGCCCCACCCCCACACTGTGACAGTGATCCCTGTCCTCCAGGAAGAAAATAACATGGGCCCACAGCTATCATAGGCCACAGAGCTTGGTGCCTCAGAGGCCCCAGAAACCCAAACCCTACTTCCCAGAGATGGGGAAACTGAGTTTGGGAGAGGGGGAAGGGTCTTGCCCCAGGCACTTAACCATGAGTAAGCTTAGGACTGAACACAGGTGCTTACAGACAGACAGCTGTGTTGACCCACACTGGCAAGAACGTATTACCTGGTGAGTTCTAAAATTTTTAGTAAAGGGTGCTGTCTATTTTGAAATGTTCACATACATCCTGTATTCAACGTAACGCAGATGAAAGCTTTAAATGATTAGCATTCTTCTGGAGTTTTTCCATTCCCACTTGTAGATCTATTTGAACAATTAGGTGCCTGAAGAATTTATACTTCTATAAATAACTTCTCCCATCCCACTACCCTGTTTTGCCTTTTGGGGAATTTGGAAATTTATTGGAGAAGGTAAGAATTCTTTATCCTGCTAGTATGGACCTCTGTGCTAGAGATGAGTTTCTTTAAAATCTCTCCGAGGGAAGTGGTTGAGGGCAAAGGAGTTGCACAGAGGAAATATGGAATGAAGCCAGAAGGTCGTAGATGTGCAGTGGAAGGCAGGTAAGAGAACACCAAAAATGTTACCATACTGTCTGTACAGGTATGCTTTACCATTTAGTCTTAATCAATTGCAGTGTTGAGAGCAAGCCATACTGAATTAAATATGCAGATTTGTCTCAAATTTTCATGCCTGAATGGCAACACATTCAAATCATCTGAGCTTTATCATTTTGATCACACTCAGCTTACTATGCCCTAACTATGGCATAATAACTTTATTTAGTGATTCATATAAGTCCAAGATAGGCAGTTTTGTACACAAATAGTCATTTCCAATATTCATTCATTCAACAACTATTTAGTGAGCCGTTGCTGAGTGCCAGGCTTGGTTTGCTCAGCACTAAGGATACAAGGAAAACAGGACTCAGGACTCATTAGCACCACGTGATTTTTTATTCCTCCGGCCTGGAAACACCTACACGACCTGGCCTCACCTCTCTCTCCTGCCTTCTCCTTACCACCCTGCCTCCAGGCCTCTCTCTCACAGCCACACTTCCGGAGCCCTGCAAGCACCCAGCTATTCTTACTCCAGGGCCTCTGCATTTGTGGTCCCCTCTTCCTAGAATGCTGTTCTCCCAGGCCTCCTCCTCACTTCATTCAGGTCTTTGTTCAACTATCACCTCCTCAAAGACAATGCTATTTGAAGGCAAATCTCTTCCTCCACTCCCTGCAACCACCCCTCATTTTTCTCCAGAGCATTGCTCACCCCTCGAAATGTTATAACTTTGTTTATGTTTTATTTTCTGACTCCCTTGGTAGAGTTTGGGCAGGAAGTTCATCTCCTTCAGCAATGTATCCCCAGAGCCTGAACAGCCTGGCACACAACAGATGTTTATGTATATTTGGAGAATGAATGAATGAACGAACAAACTGGCTCTTGACAGTTGGGGTGCTGGGTGAGCCAGCTTTGCAGGATTCGTTATGGCTCCCTGTTAGATTCATGGCCCCTGCTCCTGAGCCTCCCACTCTCCTTCCTAGCAGGCTCCTTGTGTGAACAGCATCCTTAGACACTCAGGCTCAAAACCTTGCCATCCCTTCTCATTCCTCCCTCCCCCTAGCACCCACATCCAATCTGCTGCCAATTTTGATGACACTGTGGCCTCCTGCATCACAACTCCTTTTCTCTTTATTCTTACAATCCCCTAGACCAGACCCTCCTTATCTCTTATCTAGACCAATGCCATTGTTTCCTACTTGGGTTACTGGCCAGCAGGCTCTCTCTCTCTAATCTGTTCTCCACTGGGCAGCCAGAGCGAGTTTCCTAATGGCCAGGTTTGATCACGTCTCTCTTCCCCACTTAAAAACTACAGAACAATCTCTTAGCACGGCACTCAATACCCCCAGCAGCTGACTCCATGTCCACCCAGCCTTCCTTGTTACAGCTGCTCTTCGATCCTTTTGCTCCAGTTGCAACAAACCACTTTTTAGTTTCTAAAATTCCCTAGGGAGCCCTCAATGCCTGTTTCTTCTTCATGCTGTTTCCACTGCTATCCCTTCAGTCTCCTAGCATACAAATCATTTAGTGCAAATGCTACCCTACCTTCTCCGAAAAGCCATCCCTGACTTCCCAGGAGAATAAAATCCATCCTTTTTCTCTACTCTTACCAAAAGGTCATCTGTCTCTTTTAGGACTTGTCTTGGAAAGCACAGACAATCTGACACGGAAGAAAGAGTTTAGAATCTGGACTCAGATGATCTGTGCTGGAGGCACAGCTCTCTGACTCTGAGACTTTTAAAGTATGCACCTTAGAGAAGCTGACTCTGTGTCTTAATGTTTGACACTACATGTATTATTAAATTCAATCATGCTTAGGTTCAGATAACTGATAAACAAAAATGTTCCTTCTCCCAGGGAGGTTTCATGGATGTCTTAGGATGGTTGAGCCCAGGAACAGGTCAGTCAGGGAAGAATTTTTGGAGGGATGGGATTTTGAGGCTCTAAAACCCCAGGTCCTTGGGCAATGTGATGAGGGAAAAAAGTGGACCATATAGCCGTAAGGCTGCAACCCTAATGGTATTTATAGCTATGGATTCCTGAGCTTTTTCTATGTCCTAGGCACTGTGCTAAATATCCTACATACATTATCTCATCTCATTGTATTCCCTCACAGAGTGATGGAAAAGGAAAACCAGATCCACAGCAGTTATGTAAATATAAATGCCCCCTTTCCCTTCCAACAGTTTGGACCTGAAAGATATCCTGAAAATATCTAATCCAATCACCTTCTTTTCAGATGGAGAAACAGACCCAGAGAGGTTATGAGCATGTACTGAAACTGTCCAGCCAGCAAGGAGGGGACTGGGCCTGGAACCCAGGTCTCTTCACTCAGGGTGGGGGCTGCTGCCTTGCAAAAACCTGCGGCCACCACTCATTAAGTCTGGAGGAATGGTGCTTCTGGAGCACAATGCCATTTAAGTGGAGTACATTGTGGGTGGTGGGCCCTGGAGTTATGCCACCTGGTCACCTTGGCTCTGCTCTTTGCTCAGCCCACTCAAGAAAGGTCTTGAGACAAGAGCCTTAGGCCCCGAGGATGGAACATTGCCATGCCGCCTTGCCAACTACCCCATCCAACGGAGTCTCCTTAAAGAGACTAACAAAGTCTCCATTCACTTATTCTGCTTGTACTCCTTCAACATACCTCTTGGGGCTCCATCTCTGCACCAGGCTCAGCTCTGGGGACACCAGCTGCCCTTGAGGGGGCCTTGCACTGACTCACCACCAGAGCTTGATGGGGTTGTAATAACTCAAGCTTCTCCAGATCTTTGTCAGCAACATCAAGAGGCTGCGCTCAACAGACATCAAGGAGGAAGGGGCTGCCCAGCATGAAAACTTGGGACCTCCAGGAAGGGCAGATGACAGGGGCTTAGTTGGATTAGAAAACCTAGGCCCTTAAGGAGGAGGGGAGAGAGACTGGGAAGGCACACAATTGGGTCAAAGGGGGGGAACGTGTTGACTCTGAAATGTCACAACAACTGGCCCAACCCAGGACACAGGCTCAGTGATTCCTGGGAGAACCAGGACTAATACCCTGGAATCAGATCTCCTTTCTAGGGCTGCTTCATTCTCCCAAACTAAATTCCAAACCTGGAGTCCTTGCATAAGAGAGCTCCCCTTTGAGTCGGTATCAGGCAAATTAAAGCCCAAACTTTTTTTTTTTTTTTTTTTACAGTAAGCATGGTAGCAAATGAATGGCACAGGCCTTTCCATGTGGGGGCAGGGCTGGAATTACAAAGACCTTTCTGGTACACTCATGTGTTTTTGGGTTGTGGGCATTCAGTGGGGCTAGGATTGAATTATGTGTGTTGAGGGGATAAAATATGAAAGCCAGGGACCCCAGATTCCAATGCAGGCTTTGTCACTAACTCTTCAGCGACCTTGGTCAGGCCACCTCATTGAGCCTCAGTTTCCCCATCTATAAAATGAAGGGTTTAAATGAGTTCCAAAGGTTCATCTGGTCCTGAGCCTCTAAGCCACGTGGTCCTTGGTAAGGTAAGCCCCTCAGGCTTTGTCCCCAGCCATCTCCACGTTTTGCAGGGGCCTGGGCCTCATCCAGGAAAAAAGGACATGCTGGGGGAAGGGAAGGCGCTGGGCTTTATTCTGGGGGTGGGTGGGGGAGTGTGTAGTTTAAGCTGCCCAGTCCGGGGGAGAAGTAGGGAGGGGAAGGCCCGGAGCTGTGGTTTACAGACCAGCAAGCTAGCGGCGATCTCCAATCTCCCTCCGGAGCTTTAGACCATGGAGAGGCGACGCAGCCAAAAGCCGCGCGCGCACCAGCCTCGGCCGCGGAGGCTCGGACCCGGGACCACTCTCTCGATCCTTCCCCGGAACTGTGCACAAGCGTCGTGGGGAGTGGCTGCTGCTCTGTCCCCACTACCCAGTGCCGGGCCCCCTCCCTGCGTGGAGGACCCCTTCCCCAGTCCGGGGGCGCCGGGAGCCCCATGGGGGCGTGGCGGTGGCGGGCTCCGGCTTCTCGGCCCTGGGGGATGGAGGAGGTCTCAGCTGTGGGGCCGCCCCAGGAGGGACCCGGCGCCCTCCACCTTCTGGTTCCCCACACAAAGGCGCCGACGGAGGCACCGCACTTACCGGCCAGAGCGGGCTCCGGGCGCCGGCGAGCGGGCGGGCACGCTGGCGGGAGGATGTGAGCGCGCGAGTGTGCGTGTGTCTGCGTGCGTTCCTGTGTGTGTCTGCGCGAGTGTGTGTGCGACAGGGGCCGCGCTGAGCTCTTTGCGTCTGCGTGTGCGGGGGCGGTCGTCCGTCGGTCCGTCCGCCCAGCGCTCAGTCCCGCGCTCCGTGCGCGCTCCCTCGCCCCACCGCCCCATCAAATACGCTTCAGCTGCGGAGTGTCGGGCGCAGCCGCCGGATGGGCTCGGCACCCACTAGCCCCTGCTCCGCCCCGCCCCCGGGCGGGCAGGCGCCGCTCCCCGGGAATTACGCAGGGCCCGCGGGCCCGCGGGGAGCTCCGGCAGCGCCAGGGCCCGAGAAGGGCGGGATGGCGGCCCCTTCATCTCCGACCCGGATCTCAGGCGCCCCCTCCCCCTAACTCCGTGCAGAGTGCCTGCACGCGCCACCCCCGCGCGGAGGTTGCCTGGACTGGGAGGGCGGGGGAGCGGGAGCCCCGCATCCGTTCCATTCATGATTTTCTCCTCCCCGGAGCCCCGGGCCCGGGCTGCGCCGCTACGGCGACCGCCAGAGGGACCCCGGCGGGGCCGTATGCGACCAATCTGGTGCGGGACGGACAGGTAGACAGATGGGAGTAGGTCGAAGCGAGGCAAAGGGGTAAGAGCTGGGGTGTGAGGGTGGGTTGCATGGAGGAGGTGCTGTGGCGCTCCCCTCATGATGCTCACACGATGCCTACACCTACACAAGCGGAGTGGTTGCACACCGGGGCGCACTCCGTGCCGGGTGCCCAGGACCCGCTCCAGGGCACGGAGAAGGCTCCCGCCTTCACACCTTTCCCTGTTCAGTCTCTGGGGAGCAAGACCTCTGTCCGCCTGATCTAGCTTGCCTGACGCGCGTCGCGGAACGCGCACCTGTCCTGGCTTTCTCTTGGGCACCAGGGGCCCGGACGCGCAAGGAGCTGCCCACGTGTCCCAACACAATCTCCCATTCTCCAGGCTGGCACCTGGCCGGCAGGAGGTTCCTCATATTCCATCCTATGGGGGCTTTTTGAGACCTTGGGCTGTACCCAGGTCAGGGATCTTAAGCTCCGTTTTACATGGAGAAACCGAGGTGCACCACCATGTTTCCAGCCACCATTCTCTTTCTCCTGGATGTCTGCAGTAGCCTGCTTACTGGTCTTCCTTCTTGCACCCTTGGGCCCCTGCAGTGGAATCACTACGTAGCAGTCAGAGCGATCCTTTTAAAACAAGTCAGATCACAATGTTCCTTCTTTTACTGGGAATCCTACAGTGGCTTGCCATTTCCTCTGAGAGAAGGCTAACAGCCTCCGAGGCCTCTCATGAGCTGACTCCCTTTCTTCCTACTGCTCCATTCACACTGGCCTTTTTAATGCATCACCAAAATGGCAGCCACCCCGTGGCCTCTGTACCTTTGCACTATTTTTAAAGCCTGGAAAACTTCCCCCCAGATAGTCACATGGCTTGCTCCTCTACCTCTTAAATGTGTCACCTCAAAGACGCCTTCTGTGACATCCTATTTTAAATAGCAGGCACCCTCCACCCCCATTTTCTCCGTGGTAGTCATGACTTCTATTTGTTCACTGGCCGGTCACTTCCAGTTCTCACTCTCACTTCCGTCCTCTGGCATCTTGTCCTCCAGCCTCACCAAACTACTTTGTTCTCTGAACAAGCTGCTTTCCCATTTCTAGCCTTTGTTCACGCTATGCTTTCAGCCTGGAATGCCATCCCCCTGTGTCCTTCCTAATTTTTAAGGTCCAGTGCAGATACTTCCTTTTCCGTGGGACCATCCCTCATATTCCCAGGGACACTCAGCACTCATTCCTTTCTGTCACTCACCCACCCGTCTGTCACAAGGAACTGTGATAGCAGTTGTCTTTTTTCCCAAGTGCCCTATGAACTCCTGGGGTAGGGCTGGGTCTGTGCTCTCTCCCCAGTTCCCAGCACAGTAGAGCCCATCAGTATATGTTTATGAATCAAGAGCAGGGAACGAGAGGCCTGGGCCTTTATTAGATTTTGTTCCTAGGTAGGGCATAGAGCCCAGCAAGGTCTTCTTATTATCCTCAAGTAGCTTCCTGTGGGAGGAGAGGAAGGATCAGATATCAGGTAAGTAGGCCGTGATGCTTGGCCTGTATGGAAGTGTGGGTAGACATGTCAGTTGGTGCTCAAGGACTCACTCTTCCACCAGGAGAGCATCATCGCTGTGGTCCAGGATAAGGCTGATTTTTCCGATGTCCTCAGAGTAACAAACGGCTACCATAAATGAGCGTTTAGTATGTGCCACGCACCATTTTGTGTGTTTTTGATGCACTGCTCTGTTTAATCTTCATGAAAACTTTAGGAGGTAGGCATTTTGATATCACCGTTTTCAGAAGAGGAACCAGAAAGAATGAGTGACTTACTTCACGTCTTACAGTTGATGTGTGAGGTGTGTGTGTCTCAAATTTAGACGTGGCGGGTTGCAAAGCTGCAGCCCACAGAGCAGGAGTGCAGTGACAGTGAAGGCCCTGGGCGGTGGGGGGGCAGGGAGGCATGTAGGAGGAGCCCGGGGGGCCTCCACACGTTCGCAGGGCCCAGACTCTTGCTGAAGCCAGCTTGGACGCCACGGAGGCATGGGGGCCTCGCAGGCTTGTCAGTGGTCCCCGTGAAGGAGGCTGGTCATTCCCCTTCATAATGTCTACTTCAGAGGGCCAGAGCTGCCTCCCAGACTTTTCTAGCCCTGTGCTCTGGGTTCCAAGTGCAGCCCCAGCTGTCAGATGTGGATAGCGAAGCCCATCTGAAAGGGTCATGGTGAGGAGGAGGCATGACAATGTACCTAGAAAATAGGAGGGGCTCCCAAAATTCTCTTTGTCCTTTGCTTTTGTAGGGCGTTTCTACCACATAGGGGTATACCTTGTCCTATTTCTTCTCACCCTGTTCCTGCCCTGCACACCCTTTTGTTGAAGAGTTTCAGATTCCCATAGTCCATTGAGTGTTGCCCCGGGGTGCAGTTAAGTAAGGACTTTAACAAGAAGCTGTCTGGGTGGCTTCCCTGCACCCTCTCCTTTAGTCTGCACAGGCATCTGAGGAGGGAGGTACTGTCATTACTGATAAGGAAACTGAAGCCCAGAGAGGTCCAGGGACTTTCCCGTGCCCACGGTGCTTGCTAATGAATGATGTCTGACTCTGTGTACTGAGCTAGCCCTACTCTCTCCTAAACCCATCACCGTGGGAAGCAACCCCATCTATTTCCTTTCTCTCCTCTGATGGGGAAGGAGAGTTCTCTGGGGCTTATGGCAGTGAAGCTGTTATGAGGTTGTGAGGGTTTAGGCCTATTGTGCCATTTTGTGTGATTCACTGACCCTCTCATGATGGAGGGAGGAAGAGAGGTTGGGGAAAGAGGAGTGGGCGGGGAGAGAAAGATGGTTTGGGTAACCAGTGAGTGTCTTGGTGGTGGTTTTTGATGGGCCGTTAGGGATTGGAGTAAATATTTCTTGCTTTTGGCCTCACTTGCAATCCACTCTGTTGGTAATGAAATGTTTTGCTTCAGTGAAAATGTTCCTCTATCTAGATTTTTATTTATCTACTTACTTATTTAGAACCACCCCCATCCACAAAGGATTTGAAGTAGCTTACCACAGGAGCAGAAACCATAAAATAATGTTAAAATATCAATAAGCATAGAAACTCAGGACCAAGGAAAATGTAAATAAACTTTGAGAAACAAGACCAAGGCTTCATCATTACAGCTGATTTTTATTGAGTTCTTCCTGTATGCAAAGGAATTTGTGTACATTATTTCCTTTAATCCTTAAAAATACCCTGAGAGTAGGTGCTATTATTATCTTCATTTAAAGGTATAGGGAACTGAAGTTCTGAGGGATTAACTAGGATGCTCAAGGTCACATGGCTGGTAAGTAGTAGAGCCAGTGTTTGGATTTAGTCTGATTTTGGAGCTCATTCCCTTAACCACTGTCCTCTCCGGTCTCTCTAAGACACAATGACCACAAATTTGCAGACCACAGGGACTTCTAGAGCCCTGGGCTTGAGCCTCAAGTTTAGTTCTGATCTCTGATGTCAAAAAGAAAAGGAAACAATTACACAGAACCGACGCCCTCCCATCCTTCAACTCTTTGCTCAAGGGTCACTTTCTCAATGAGGCCTCCCTGACCTCTCTCCTTAATGAAGACTGGAGCCTGCCTTTCCCAGCTCTCTTCAGCAGTCCCCTATCTCCCTTTATTTTTCTTTCACAATGGCACATTTTACCTTTTAACATATTGGATGATTCATTTATAAACTATGTTATATGTTTTATTTAACATATGAGACCTTTACTGTATTCTATATTAATACATTTGTGAAGTATAAATTAGATAATTTATCTGTTTACTATGTTCACTGTTAACATATTAAACATTCTATCTTCTTCTACTGGAATACAAGATCCATGTAGGCAGATATTATTGTCTATTTGAATCACTGATATATCCTAAAGGTCACAGACAATGCCTGGTATATAGTAGGTACTCAATAAATCTTTGTTGAACACTTGAATGATTATTTCAGAAAGGAAGGAAGAGACTGATATGTCTAAGGTGGGCTAAGTAGGTCTGTTTGTTTTTGCTAGCTTGTATTTTCTTTCCTCTTTTATCCTTTTTTTCTTTTCCCTTACTCTTGTCCAGAAAGAACTCCAGGCAGCTCCAGCACTTAGCTCTCAGAAGGTTTGCTGATGGTGGACCCTTAGGAACCCTGGGGCCAATGACCTTAGTATCATTGTTACAGCAAATGCATAAATGGGATTCATGAAGCTGATTTCGGTGGGGTCTCTCAACAAAAGCTGGATATTATCCCCACACCTAAATCAGCAAAGGTGATCCTTTTGGGGGTCTAGGAGTTGTATCCAAGTACCATTCCCAAGGATCTGGAATTTGGAGCAGATGCTATGGGGATGGAGATGGGAAAATAAAAAGCAGAGCTTTTGTGTGGAACAGTTGACTCAAAGGGAAGGACATCCTTGTGTTTCCTAAGAGCTCAACTCTGGAGTCGAATTTGCTGGCTGCAAGCCTGAAGAGTGAAAAGCCAAGGACATTAGCAAGGGCTGTCAGAGGAGAAGCCGAGCTGAGACCAATTGCTGGGATATGTGCGGGTGGTGGTGTGATGTGATCTTGCTGTAGTTGCTGACTACAGATCTGGGCCAAGCCTCTGGGAGCCGCAGACAGCAGCCTGTCAGCTCAAGGTGAAGGCCAACAGTGCCTGGCTGCTGATCCCAGGAAGAAACATCAGCAACACTTGTCTCAGGATGAGTGGGAGTCAGAACTTTGTCCCCATCATGGTCACTGTTCTGGGCTTCTGCAAACAGATTTATTCAACACA